CTTAAGAAGAGTGCCGTCATGGTATGCAACGAGGACAGGGAGGAACCAGGAGAACATAGATGGAAGTGGGGGATCGAGGAGATTGCAGTAGTGGACCAGTACACATACCTCGGAGTAGAGATCGCAACCGACTGTTCGTGGAATGCACACATGTCCAAGGTAGCGGAAAAGGGCAAAGCACGAGCAGGGAAGCTGCACCCAATACTCGCAAACCGGCACCTCGATACACGCATCAAATTGGCGGTTTTGAAGAGCGTAATCGTACCGCCGCTAGAGTACGCCGGAGAAGTATGGGAAGGAAATAAGAAGGTAGTGAAAAAACTCGAGGCGGCGCAGATGAAAGCAGCGAAAATCATCCTAGGATGCTCCAAGCGCACAAGTAATGCTGCCGTAAGGGCAGAATTGGGGATCCAATCCCTACGGTCGGGAAGAGACGCAAGGAAGCTGACATGGCAGTATCGCATGTGCGGGATGGGAGAGGAGAGGTTGCCGAGAATAGTATGGGAGGCGAAGTGGGCAAACAAAAAGAGGGGTAGACAACCCACGGAATGGGTCAATGTTGTAGAGGACGTATGGAAGGGGTCAGACATCGACGAAGATGAAACGCTGGAAACGGAGGGTCTACAAGGGTTCAAGGAGAAGATATCTGTTGCTTATGCCGAGAGAGAAGAACGGAATCTAAGGAAAGAAACCAAGGATAAGGAGGGCCTAGAAGAAGTGTACGGAATGTTGAAAGAAGGAATAGGGTTCAAGGATTACCTACATGGACCAATGGATGCAGGGACAAAGCTTTAAGGTCAAATTCAGGACCCGGGACATAGGCCTTCGAGAACGTCGACGAAGACATAGGACGGTAGACGACGAAGACGACTAATTCAAACGTGATTGCGGCTTCGAATGGACCGTGTTCATGTAGTCACGGAATGTCCGCGGTACGAAGAGGAGAAGGAAGTGTACATGACTGAGCTGGGAAAAATACAAGGGACGTACAGGGAGATGTTTGAGGCATGGAATAGAGAGGAGAGGACGGTAGCTGTATTGGGGAGTAGGAAGTGGTTTGAAAAGGCGGGAAGGGATATCGTTAGGATAGACAGACTAGGGAAGACATTTTTGAG